ATGGAGCCGGACCCAGGCTGTCTGGAAACTCAGGCAGGGCAGAAGAGCAAGCTCACAATGGCAGAAGCTGCGGCGCAGGGAAAAGGGGGCGGGGTGCGAGTGGTGGAGAGCAAAAGAAAATAAAAGCCACATGCCACCCAGGAAGATTCCAGGGCGGGCGGGAAGGAGGTGGCGGAGGAAGGACTTGCAGGCAACAAGTGCCCAGACGTGGCACTGCCAGTCTAGCTGGATTCTTTTCTGAATTAGATTATGCGAAAGAAAGCGGGGAAATATATAGCCCGCCAGCTGTTCAAAGGCTTACAACCTTGCTTTTATTGTCCGGGTAAGTTGGTGAGGTGGGGCATCAGAGGAATTCCACACATACCAGCCCCGAGAAATTTTAATATGTTCCACAGTGTCATACACAAAGAGGAAATGACAGCTGATCACAGCCCAGGGCAGGCCACAGCGATCTGGGCCCTGGAGCTTACCCACCCTCACATGGCCCAGCTCTCTTCCATTGCTTTAGCACTTCGGTCATTCCACCTGCCTCCCCATCCCTTCTGCCCCTGCTTGGCCCAGCCTGGGGGTGGAGGGGAGGGGTGTTGGGGGGAGGGGGAGAGGTGGCCTGGACAAAGTAGCAGGAGCGGAGTGTCATGGGAAGAGGTGAGCCTGGCCTTAGAGGCCGCTGGCCAAGAAGCTGAGGCTGGCTAGGGTGAGTCAGGCACCCCAGGGAGTCAGAGGCATTTTAATCCAACCACGGGGGCTTATCTGCTGATAAGGACCGAAATCAAGGACTCTGGTGATGCTGTCTTCAGGGTGTTTTTTTTTTTTTTCCTCCCCCGAGTAACCTACCGAAGCCAGAAAACACAAGACTGCCTTATTTCAAAGGAACACTGCGTGTGGCTCTGCCTGGGACCTAGGCTTGGGGAATGACTTCCGGCAACTTCTTCCCAGGGGCCCCCTTGAATTTAGGCCAGACCCCAGAGGTCACTGGTTCGGATCCTGGGGGCGGGACTAGTGAGCGGTGGGAGACAGTGATAGCATCTTCCTCCGGGCATGTTTTTAATTCAGTGATTCATCCAGCGGCCCTGATGTCAGCTGCTGAGTAGGTGACTCACAGCCATCCCTGATAGAGACAACACGTGATCCTCTCCAAAGTGTGCTCAAGGGAGCAGAGAAAGGATTAACTGCCCTTTTTCCAGGCTTCCTCTACCCAGGCGGGAAAGGTCCGGGCCTTGTCAGCTTTGAGTGATGTGTACCCGAGATCCGGTGATAGAGGCCTCAGGGGAACCCCTTCGTCACAAATGGAAAGAAAACCCATTGATAAGCGACAATCATTTCACGTAAGCCTGGGTATCAGCAGATATTTGAAATAGCTCTTTGTTACAAGAAAGTCATTGACCCATTTCCCCGTTGGCAAAGTCCATCGCAGTCCCCAAATCTAACTGCAGAGGGCATACAGGCTGAGAATGAAGGCATGGGACAATGCCTCATTCACCTTTGCATCCATCAGGACTAGCGGAATTTCTTAAAGGAATGATGGAATGAATAATTCACCAGTAAGAATAATAGCACTTGAATCCTGAGTCCTTAAGGTCTGGTAGAAATTGCCAGCCACCATTGGTGGCTATGATTCCAAGAAACTCACATTTTTCAAGGGCCCAGGAAAAACAAATGAGTTGGAAATTGTTAAATGTATTGAAAAATGATTTATTTTCCCCTTGACAGTGTCACTGGAACCCGGATTAAGATTGAAAACTCCACAGGCATGTTTCCATCTGTGGGTGTCAGCTGCTTGGTTACAGAGCCGCTCAAGAAGGCCTCGGTCAGTTGTCCCTTTACCTGAACCAAACGTACTTTAAAGTAAATGATGCAAAACTTTGCATTTTGTGTTCAGACATTCTCATACAATGGTCTGAATAACAGTAGAAGACTATTGTTTCGACTCAGCTGATGGCTCTGTTAACCGCAGTAGTTAAAAAAAATCACCATAAAATTGCATAGCAATAGAACCCATAGTATCGTTTCAGGCTTTCTCAAACGGCGAATAGCCCAAAGTTGTAAATGAACTCATTCAGAAGCTGCATTTCCACTCAGCAATGCCCGGGAGGCTAGTTATTAGAGAAGATCAGGCAAGTTCCCCATAAACGGAATAGGACCCTAAAGTTCACTTTCAGAAGCCAGACTGGCGAGAAGGAAATGGGCATATATTTGCATTTGGTCTAAGGACACACTCGAGAAGCATTCTGCAGTCCCCGCTGTATGTGGCTGACACCCACAGCCGACACTGTATTGCAGGCGTCTCCACATTTTCAAATATACCAGGTACTTAACGTTACATGTTGGAGCAGTTTGCCGTAGCCAGCTCCTTGCAAATTAAAATACACGAATATTAGAAACGAAGAGACGGTTTCACAGCATCCATATCTGTTGTTACTGACAGTTACAAAGGGCAAGGGAGTGGGACTCCCATCTCGCCAGAGAGCTTCCTTTGCTGCACCTGAATCTCACTGGAGAAGGGAGTCTACTCTTCACGCCGGTTTATCTGGGCTCGTGAATTACAATGAGCCTCAGTTACAACGCGTTCTGAGTCATTAACATTCTGTACACAAACTTCCCGTCCCTCAAGAAAGAGTTATGCCCAGGCCTCCTACAGCCCAATTGTTCATTTAAAGAGAGAACTTGTATTCAGGAGCTCGAAAGAACCCTCCGAATATTCCTCAGGTGTCTGTAGGAGTCATTCCTACAGGTCCCGGTCCCTGCGCTGGTGGGAGCATCCTTCCTCGGTCACCGCTCGGACAGTGTAGCATCGGTCGAGCCGCAGGGACAAGCTGACTACTAAAAATAACCCTTTGCGATAAGGCCAAGGCAAACAGCATGCATTTCCTTGGACTTTTTGCCCAATCAAAATCCTATAGTAAACCCGTCCTTCTCTCTCCCCGGCGCTCCAGACTGCGTCTACGGAAAGCGAAGTCCTTGCACATTGGGAGGAGAGTGCAAAGGAACAGGATTCCTGCAAAGCGTGACAGAGAAAGCTAGAAATAAATGTTGCCTATTGTTTGAAGTCATTCTAAGCACTCCGGCGGAGCCCTGGCAGGAGATCAGCAGCATACAGAAGTAGTAATAAAAGTAAACAGTGCGCTTTTAAACTCGGAGGGTTGCCCGCCTTCATAGTGCCCCCATTGTAACAGGGATGAGGGCGGTGGGGAAGATACTGGGGCTCCAGGAATCCATGTCGCCCAATGCTCCTTCCCAGCCTCCTTTCACCGGGTCAGATATAAGAACCATTACAAAGTTCCATCGAACTACGCGGAGAGTTCGAAAATAAAATCTCTTTCGGTCAAACCCAAAGGGATTTTCCAGCAGCCTCTCCGAGAGGCTCCCCGGCTCTGTCACAGACTTCAAAGACCCGTTCATTTAAAAAAAAAAAAAAAAAAAAAA